TGGGGAATGTGTCTGGAGAACTGTGCAAAATTGCTTTAGAAACACTTGGGTTTTTTTCTTGTTCTTGACCCTTTGTTTGTATTTTGTCTTTAGTCCTCAACTGTTTCCTGTATTTATTTTTATGCTTTTCCAGCTTCATTTTTTTCCAGAAATAATCAATACATAACTCTGTGTAAGTTTAAAGTGTATCGTATTTGATTTGATACATTTATATATTGCCAAATCACTGCCACCGTAGTATTAACTACCACCTCGGTCCCATCACATGGTTGCCATTTCTGTTCTGAGATGAGAACACCTAACAACTCCTTTCTTAGCCATCGTCATGTTACATGATACAGTATTATTAGCTATAATCACTGTGCTATCCATTAGACCCCCAAACTGGTTAACCTCATGGCTGGAAGTTTATACCCTTTGACCCATATCTCCCCAACCTAGTAACAACCACACTATTTATGTTCCTCTGAGTCTGTCCTTTTTAGATTCTACATAGAAGCAATAGCATGTCTAATCTGTCCTTCCCTGCCAGACTTGTTTCACATAGCATGATGTCCTCAGGGTCCATCCAGGTTGTCACAAGTGGCAGATTTGTTTTTAGAAAGTCATTGTCCCATGGGAGTTTTGACTCCAAACAAGGCTTTTATGCTCTGATTTCTCACCCAAAAGGCTTCAGAATATCCTTGATTCATTCACATCCAAGAAGCACTGGGGCCCCATTTGCTGTCTTTCAATAACCATCACCCTTTTGGGCAGTGTCAGCCCCACAACAGGGCTGTTGCTCCTCCACTGCGTTCCGTGTTCTGCAGTCCAGCCTTCTCTCCCTGGCATCTCCCCCAAGGGTGCCCATATCCAACTGCTGAGCAGAGCAGCCTTCCCCCTGAACACACCTGCTCTTCTTAGATGAGGGTTTTCTGCCCCTGCCACCATTAAAGTTTCTGATGTCCTGGAACACTGGCTGATAATGGTGGCCTTGAACTTGGTATTTCAGCAAATATTTTCTGAGGGCCTGAGCTAAACCATGATGAGATAGCTCCTCTGAACATTCCCATTTACTCTTTCTTTTCTTTGTCAGAAAATATCATTTACTCTTTCCACTTATTGCAGGGATTTTCGGGGACCGAAGAAGAGATTTCCATTCTAAATGATAATATTGGGCCAATCTGTTTCCTGAAATAAATTGAAAGCAGTACTCAGGTCTTGGGATAAGTTCTTTAATTAAGGATTTTCTCAGTGCTTTGATGTCAAGAAAAGTGACATGGGACAGAATATCCATGTTGGACTTTGGCTTCCCCATAGAGTAATAATAATGACTTATATTCATAGAGCTTCTCGTGGCTTACAGAGTATTCGTACATTAATGATTTCATTTGACCCTCATAATCACCTTGTGATGTACACATGAAAGGTTTGTCACGAGAAAACGTAGGGAAGGGCAGCCCCCGTGGCGCAGCGGTTTAGCGCCACCTGCAGCCTGAGGTGTGATCCTGGAGACCCAGGATCGAGTCCCACGTTGGGCTCCCTGAGTGGAGCCTGCTTCTCCCTCTGCCTGTGTCTCTGCCTCTGTGTGTGTGTGTGTGTGTGTGTGTGTGTGTGTCCATGAGTAAATAAATAAAATCTTTAAAAAAAAAAAAAAAGAAAGAAAAAGAAAACGTGGGGAAGACCTCCAAGCTAGGGTAGTATGCTCCTTCACATGTTGCATAGATTATCATGATACTACCCGTGTGTGCCTGTAGGAAAATTAGATTTAAATGTAGGATGGCTGACAACCTAGTGACTGTGTTCCCCCTTTGTTCTTCAGGAAAGCTAGAGAATGTTCTAGAATGAAATGTATACAGGGGAAAACAACTTTTATCACTAGTCATAAGCCTTGAGGGCCTCGTAAGACCCAAATAATCTACCCTGAGGCATAAAAGCCTGAATCTATGGGGAGATTTCCTTCCTTTTTATGGTTGCAGAGTATGTATTATAGTTTATATTAGATATTATTATAAATTGTATTGTATATTATATATTATATTGACACACATAACACATCTTGTTTATTCATCTGTTGATGGATATTTACTGTGTTCTCGTACCTTGGCTACTGTGAGTAATGCGGCAGTGAACATGGTAGTCTAAATATCACTCTAAGATCGTGACTTCAGTTTTTTCAGATATATACCCAAAAGTGGGATTGATATTAATAACCATTGTTACCTAAATTTTCCACCAGAATATTAATCCTATGTGGCAAGTAACAGTAATTGGCTCCCTGAAATTTCTTTGAAAATAATTTCTATCTTTAGCATTGGATGTAATTTTATTCACGTTGCATTCAGAGTTGGGTATTTACTGCCATGAGTCATCAGCACATTGTAGCATGCAGATTCAGCTGAGCCATAGAACTACTTACCATTGAATCAAATCACAGAAGTGGTCATACTTTTGGTCATTGATATGAAACTGAGTGGTCATACCATTTCTCAGCATTTCATAATTTGACATTTTAAATGAATGCATCACAATCAACCCTCAAGAAGCAGGTGAAAAGGGAAGTTCTGAGTCGCCTGGTAAACCTTATACCATGAAAAGACAATGAACAGAAGAAAAAACTTTGTTATCAGAGGCTAGGTCTAAGAAACCCGAATTGATTTTTATCCTTGAGCCGTGCCCACCACTGAGGCACGTGAGCCCCCCATTCAGCTTGTCACCAGCACACAGAGACCAACTCAGCTACTTGAGTTAGCTTTAAAATATATTTGCTATTCATGTATTTCGACATTGAAACTTCACTCCATAAAAAAGGTGAAATTTCTAGTGCACAGAGCTAGGAGTTATTGGGAGCCTCCTGTATGTTCGTTTCTTAAGATGTGGGATCTTACTGATGAACTTGTTAATTTTAAAGACCTGTACTTTGTAGCTGGGTTCTATATACCACGTATATTCAGAGTCTGTTCAGCAAGGAGCCCTGGACACCTGCCCTGCCAGGTTGGTGCCGGGTGATGAAGGGGAAGACAGTGGCATGTGGCATCTTCAACCTGGGACTGGCAGTACTGTCACACTGTAAGCCTGGAAGAGCCCAGGTTTATTGAGTTTATTGTGTTCCCATCACGTGGTCTCCATTGCAAGAGGAAACGAGAGGGCTCCTGAGTGTCCTGTTTGGTTTTTCACATGATTGGTTTTATGGCATTCATTGGGCTATTTTTTTGTTTTGGGAGGCAGCATCCAAATAATACCATAATAAAAGATGCCATAAACACAGAGAAATGAAGTCATCAGTCTTCCTGGTATGTGTTGGTGTGGAGACGAGGCGCACCAGTACGCGCAGGAAGAAATGACAAGAAGATGTGGAATCAGATGCAGTGGTGACCATTTTCCATGATTCCTGCTAAATGCCTATGATATCACAGACACGAAAACTCCTGAGCATTGTTACTTATGAATTTTTTAAAATCTGGATTACTAGTAAAAAAAGTAGTTATAGTAATTAGAATAATGACAAAATACATATTTTAATCAGCTTCCAGATAGAGGTGGCGGTGGGGACACATGCAGCTACTTTCTCTCCTACTGGAAACTCATGAATATCATATTAAAGGAGTATCCTTTCAAAGCATAAGGCAACAAGGACAGTTCTTACGATGCCTAAATCCCTGATTGGAGGGAGGATGAATTAATGACGAATTCATAGAATCTAAGTGACTACCCCCCAAAAAACTTGGTGTGCAAGAGACGTGGATAAGAACAGAATCCCATCAGTTCACCACATCCTTCAGCTGTGGATGGTGTTATGAGTGCAAACACTGGATTTTGATCTGACCAAAAGAACAGTGTGACTGCACTGAGATGATGGGAGATGGGAAGTCTTCATCGATGTTGCAGACACAGGGATGGGTTAGGCAGTAAAGGGACAAACCTTCTCTTTCCATAGAGCACAGTTAATGGATAATGCTTGATCCTGGAAAATCCTAGTGGTTAGATCCAGGGAATAAACATGCAAACATTTAACTAAAAGATATGGGGGAAAGATAGAGTGGTTCTCTTTTTCATAAAAAAGCTGAGAGGGCTATTTAACACTTCATATATATATATATATATATATATATATATATATATATCATTGATAAAAATCATTTTTCAAGTATGGTCATAACTGAGTCCACTATATGTTGTGAGTTTCCCTCTAATGATGACCTTCCCTCAAATGGAAGAACTAACAGTGCCGTGTCCAAGGTCAAACCTTATACCCCTCATATGTGGCACTTTTTATGAAGATTTCCATGTTTATAATTCTTGCCAAATCTTTAAAAATCTTTATCATTGTAGTCCTAAGTTCCACACACAAACACCCTCACCTCATGCCGCATTTGCCAGACGTTCAAATGTATACTGCTCAGTAACCAGGACGCTCCCACCTGTGCTTATAAGGGAGAGAAGGGAGGAAATAGAGAAATGCTGCCCAGATATTAACCAGGGGAATGTTGTGAAAACTTACATACGAAAAGCTACTATGTATTGTGTGTGGCATTTGGATACCCTTCTACCCTAATACTTAGCATCTGTGATCCCGGAGCTAAAAATACTCGTTAATCTCAAACTGAGTATCCTGTTGTCCAAAAATATATATATTTTTTGATCCCATCATTTTAACTTTAAGCCTTTTTAAAACAAAATGGCTCAGCTTAACATCGGAATAATCAGCAGTTAGGGTAATTTCTAAAGTGGGAAGTAGATGATTTTTATGGGCTCATTCTTTTTCACATGCGGTTACGTTTGTCGTCTCATTCTCCTCGTTGGCACAGGAGAAACTATGCAGATTCTTTCTGTCAGTTGACCTGACCACTGAACATGCTCTTAAATGCCCAATTTGACAAAACTGTGTTTTTCACTTTGTAGAGTAGCAGATAGGTGTCAGGATGGGACGTTGGAGAGAGCCCTGTCTTTCTTAGAGAAAGGAAGCTCTGGACTCTGTTGCTGCCGCACGACAAGCCCATGTCATGACCTTTCTCTTCCAGGAGTACCAGCCTTGCAACACCAACCCATGCCCCGAGCTGAAGAAGACCACGCCCTGGACGCCCTGGACACCCGTCAATATCTCAGACAACGGGGGGCACTATGAGCAGCGATTCCGCTACACATGCAAAGCCCGCCTACCTGATCCGAATTTGCTGGAAGTGGGAAGGCAGAGAATCGAGATGCGGTACTGTTCCAGCGATGGGACCAGCGGCTGCTCCACAGATGGTGAGCGGAGACCCCCCTGCCCCTGCCCAGGACTGACCCACTTCACAGACAGGCATCTGATCCCATCTCTCAGGTCGTAGGAGAGTAAGGGGATGTTCTCCTTTTGATTATTTTTCGCTTTGCTTCTTTGTAACGATCTCACTAGTGCAGAACTGGCTTTATAGCAAATTGATGGGAAAGAATGATATACTGAGGTGGTCCTGGAAATTCAGCCCTCAAAATAACACTATAGTCTAATAGATCCAGAAAAGTTTGTGGCAGATTTACTTAATGTCAGAAAATATATTGAGGAGGGCTCAATGGTCTTCCATAAATCTTCTGGCCCAAAAAACATAAGCTGCAAATAAGCTTTTACTTTAATTATCCCCAAACTGAACAAAGAAAGGGCACCTGTCTATAAAAGGGTCTTTCTGCTAAGAAGTTCAGCCTGTGAAGAATCCTCTGATAGTCTTTGAAACTGCTCTGTCCTTTTAATTCCTTCAATACTATGTTAATAGTGTAAGGAAAGCTCTGAGGTAGACTAAGATATGCACCCCCATGCCTGCCCTGGGGCTCCGTGGGCATCTCTCCCCCAACAACTCACTTACTCCGTCTGGAGCTCAGCTGTCTCTACCACAGGAAGGGGGTGAGTCTGGTCGTCCCAAAGAGCTCCATTTCTGCTTTCTTCTTCTACTTTACCAAGATCTGTCTACTTCTAACAAGAAGATGGGCATTCACAGATGGTTCCCAGAGCATGGTGTGATGAGAACAGTGATAGTAACATCGTGCACTAGGCCACCGGGAACATTTTCTCAGCACGTTGTATTTCTGATTCCACCTTGTTCTCCCAACATGAATGTGACCTAGAAAGCACAGTCACCATGAGAGAGGGCTCCTTAGACTCAGAGTGGGTGGCCTTGATGAACCACAGAGGTAGTAAGCTGCCCCCTTGGGCTGCCATGGGTAGGATAAATTCATGGGAGTGTGATAAATGTCCTCTTGCATTGCTAGCGGGAAGCTCTTGCATGGGGTGGCTCTGAGTGAGGGCCCCATGCCTCCTCTGGGGGCTGCTATCGGCTGGGGCAGGTGGATCTGCAGCCTGTGTGCTGGGAGGCCTGGCAGCTGCCATCAAGAGCCACTCCCAGTTGTATGTCCTGATATGACTCACCTCCTGATCTCAAATTATTCTGCTCACTATAGTTCAGCAACTATGTATTAGCTGGTTCATCATTTCTTGAAAAAGTCCACTTTAGTGAAAAATTTTGTGTGACTAGGTCTACAATTTAAATAAACACCTATACATGTAGAAAATCAAGCAAAATTATCTTCACCCTTGCTAATTTTGTAAACTCCTGCTTTAGTTAGAAGAAAAGACATATGATGGAATACCAAGGGGGAACCGAGACCCCATTATAAAGATTTACATTCTACAAGGGACGATCTTGTGATCGTGATTGGGATTGTGACATGAAATACAAAATTCTATGTTAAAGATGAATTTCAGATATTTCTCAGAATTTTCCTGAGTATAAGTATGCCCCATGAATCTGTTTTGGAATAACTGTGCCCCCATGCAATAATTAGGATGTGCTTACCCTAAAACATTATTTGTTCATCTGAAATTCAGATTTCACCGGGCTTCCTCTATTTTATTTGCAAATTCTGGCAACCCTGTCTCCAATTTATGTACTTAACTCTCTTATTTCAGAGCAGGTGGTGAACTGTCTTATTTCTTATGACATCAAAGTGAAAAAGAAACAATGAGTGGCAGTGTTTCCCTACATAGGAATGTCATTGTCTTTTTTGAACATACATTTTTTTTACCCTTTTATTCTCAGATACATACAAAACCAAAAGCTGGAGGTTTTTTTTGATGATAGCAATATAAACTAAGAAACAGTTTGATATACATTTATGAAAGATACCCTGTATTTTCTCCAAAAGTATATCATGGGCAAGACTTAACAAGTACTTCATCTTTCTTGTGTCTTGAGGGCTTCAAGTCCTAATGACCATCCACACATTTTGGTATTGACATCTTGAAAATACAAAATTGGACTTCTTTGCCTCTGACCACACAAAATGAGGTTTACTTGTGCAGAGCTGTTCCGTATTGATTAGCCACAAAGTATTGGCTCATCACAGAAAGACATTTCGAATACATTTTCTGTAAAGAGCATCTTACTGAGGTTTCTGGGCCTGAATTTTTTAGTAAACGGCAAAGGCGCTCAGCCCTGGACAGGACTCTTGGGGTGTTTGCCTTCTCGCACTTCCCCAGTGAACTCCATGGCATATTTGGAGAGTTTTTTGTTAAAACCTGCATCACATTGCTAGCATTTGAGAAAATTCAAATATTTATTAATATTTTAAGTGAGTGCCCATTTTCATCGAAGCAAACAGGAATTTTGACTGTGGCCAATTAAATGACCTTGGGAGCGTAGAGTGCTCAGAGTTGGCCAGATCCACATTAGGTATCCAGAGCCTTTTCCTACCCAGACAGCTCCCAACTGCTGCAGCTTCTATGGCCACATCTGTATCTGGGGAAGCGTAGCGGGCCCTGAACTTCACGGGAGTGTGTGCCACTGTGCAAGTTCGTTCAGGAATGTGTTCAGTTCTGGGTCATGAGCTCTGCCCCCTGCATGGGTCCTGAACAGATGCCTATCTCTGTGGCCTGTGATTCAGAGGCACTGAGCTCTGCACCTTTCACCAGGCTGAATTCACTTTGGAAAGGCTCACCGGTAGAGAAACAGGTTTAGAATACCATCTGAATCATGCTCTAATGAGAGAGGTCCCCGATGGTGAACATCCCCTCGTCCAATACAGCACCATTTGCTATAGAATTCCCGAGGGAGGTATCCCAGGATGGCTTAGCGGTTTAGCGCCTGCCTTCGGCCCAGGGCACGATCCTGGAGTCCCGGGATCGAGTCCCGTATCGGGCTCCCTGCATGGAGCCTGCTTCTCCCTCTGCCTGTGTCTCTGCCATTCTCTCTGTGTCTCTCATGAATAAATAAAATCTTAAAAAAAAAAAAAAAAGAATTCCCGAGGGAAGTGAGAAAGGTGTGTTTTCCTTGTAAGAAGTTTCTCAAAAAAATAAGTGACCTACAAACCTAAGATCTATGACTGACATAGCATGTTACCACATTTATGAATCAGGTTCTTAGTTGCATCCTATATAAGAGCAACTGCAGAGGAAGGAGCTGGAATTATAGGAGATTATCATCCCAAAGTAAAAGAGGTTTTTTATCTTCTAATGCATAGGAAGTACTCAGCAGATCTGGGGAAGGTAATGATAGAATGAAGCGGGCAGCTGATATAGAGTGAATGTTAGTTTGGACCACAGTGGCTCGAAGAATTTCTAACAGAATCACACTTGGGCCATTTCGTTGGCAGGCCTTTCTGGTGATTTCCTGCATGCTGGGAGGTACTCCGCCCATACCGTCAACGGTGCTTGGTCAGCCTGGACATCGTGGTCACAGTGCAGCCGTGACTGCAGCAGGGGCATCCGGAACCGGAAGCGTGTTTGCAACAACCCTGAGCCCAAGTATGGAGGGATGCCTTGCCTGGGCCCCTCCCTAGAATACCAGGAATGCAACATTTTGCCCTGCCCAGGTGAGTGGATTGACTGGAAATAATCTGGAAAACATCTGAAAGATCAAGGGCCTTAGATGACCTTCTAGTTCAGGGAGGCTTGCTCAACTTCCCTGGCTTTCTGGTTGAGATTATATGTATGTAAAGTCACAGATTATATTTTTCAGTGTCATTGGTAAAAAGATAGATATAATGTAGGCTGTGTTATATTCATTTATTTCTCCTAATTTTAAAGATACTAAAACATTCTCGTGAGCCCCTCTTAGGATCCTGGGCCCTAGGTAAGGCATGGAGAGGTGTGTTGTGTCATCGAAACTAGAGGCTGGCCTCCTCCCAAACTGATGGGCCCAGCCCTCTAGGGACTGCCTTCTCTCCATACCACAGATTCCTCCTCTAGAATGACAGGTATCAAGAGTGACCCACCAGGGGCCTGTCAAGCCAGCCCTTCCTGTCCCCACTCAACAGGGCTCCACTTAGTCCTGAGTTCACTCCTCAAAACATAGACTCTTCTCTCTCGGAGGCTGACAGAGGCTGTGTTGTCTGGCTCTTCCTCCTGAGACCTGGCATTTTATTCCAGATGAGCACAAGGTTAATAAATGAGCTTAAGGAGCCTCCGTCTTCCTGGACAGGACATTGTGTTCAGACAGTCCCGAGGGCTGCCTGTTGTAGTGCAGTGCTCTAGCCGTCTCTGTGCTCCTCCCCCGTCACAGCTCTGGGCACAGCCCTGGCACCTGATTTGATTCCATCTGATGTTCCCGTAACCATAGGCTCTTTCATGGATGCCCCGCAGCCACCAAGCGCTGTTTATGGCTGGGCATGTTGCCTTGGACTCTGCCCGATGAGGGTTCCAGACACTTTTGTGACTATCACGCTCACTACGGTGCCCCCAGCTCCCAGCATGGGCCTGGTGCGCACAAAACAGCTGTCAGTGACCGTGCGCTGAATGATGAGAAAACAAGCACTTGGTTACTTGATCTTCCTTCCTTCCTTCCACTTTGTCAGCAAACATTCTTGGATAGCTCACTGTGCACCATCCACAGGGTAATAAGCAGGCACAGTGATGTGGTCCAGGTCAGAGAGGAACCCAGAGTCCTTGAGGAGGCATCCTGTGAAGCGTGTCCAACCAGTATGGTCACTGGCTATTGGGTTGGTGACAAGATGTAGTGACTGCATCAGCCAAGGACCCATGGAGCTGGAGTCCTGGCAGCTACCCTCATCAGGTGGCCCCTGAGCTGGGTGGTGAAGGACAGATAGGAGTTGGCCAACTAGAGGAACAGGGATAAGGAGTGGGGGAGGGGTCATTCCCAACATCAAATACAGTGTTTTTAAAGGTACAGAAGCCTGGGAGCAAAACACTTTTTTCAGCAGGTACAAATAAGGTTCTGAGTTCCTTAAGCAAGGAACCTACTTGTAGCAGTGTTCAGTGAGTATTTCTTGGATGAATGAATGGATGGGGGATGGATAGATGGATGGATGGATGGATGGATGGATGGGTGGTAGGTGAATTGGTAGATGGACAGATAGGTGGAAGAATGGGTAGATGAAGGATGGATGAGTCGGCGGGAGGATGAATGGATGATGGGCGGATTGATCGATGAAAAGATGGGTGGATGAATGATGGATGTATGGGTGGCAGGTGAATTGGTGGATGCATAGATAGGTGGATGGATGAATGAATGAATGTACCTTAAATGGAAAATACATAGTTCTCAGCTCTGAGGCAGAGGATCCTAATAATGCTGTTCCACTCCTCCTAGACTGACTGTGCCGGAATTTCTCCAGCCTCAGGAGACTCTTCCCTCCAACCACTTGGCTCACCCAGCCAAGTGATGCTGAGGGGGTGGGAAAGGTCACAGAGCCAGTTCTTTCCCACAGCCCCAGCATGGAGAGTAGGATTCCTCCCTGGTGCTAGGAGAGTTCTTTGGTGACATCATTAGATTTGGATCCGTGTTAGAAACTGAACAGGGAGGGCTACAAGAGAATGTCAGGATCCCTCCATCCACCCTCGCCTCCCTGCACTCCAGATATGCTGTCAGCAGAGCATGCAGACTCCTCCAAATATTTGGACGCCACTCTGGTCCTTGAGTGCAAGACTCAGGCCCATCTCAGAGATACCACTTAACATGACCTGGTGGCCGTTTTTATTTTAGTTGATTTGATGTATTGTGTATACAGTATTGTGTATACATAACCTTAATATCTCAAAATAGCTCCATCCTCATTTTCTTTCTGAAAACCAAGATTCCAAAGAGGGTTGTGGAAATATTTAGAGTGGCCCCTGTCACTTTCCACTCGGGAATGAGCAAGTTCAGGGGATTGAGTTGAGCAAATATCTATCTTTTCTCCCACCTTCTAGAAAATTCCTAAACACACGACAGAGTGTAACTTGGCAAAGAGGGGCTGGAACCACTCCGTGATGTGGGTGCTGAGCTGCTCTGCCAGTGAGAGTGCTATTTTTACCTCATTTAGGATACTGTCCTCCCTGTGAATGTACTCATCTTTAGTCCCATTGGGTCCATAAAGAGCAGTCACACATAGGCACTGTATCTTATTTAAAAACCACTTTTGTCCTTCTGATTAAATTTGAAATCTAAGGCTAGATGAATGTAAAGTCTTTTAAATCAATCAATGAAAAATTTGATCTCTAGTCCAATTTGCATAATAAACTTCCATAAGGTTTTAAAGTCAAGATTATGTTGAAATGATCCTTTTTCCCTTTCTGTAGATTTATCTGATAGTAACTTCACCTACATAATTTTCCTCCAACATTGAGAAATAGCTTGGTCTTTCTTCTCTCCTGTTTTTCAGTCCATGTTTGTTTCAGAACTAAGGATTCCAGACCTTGGCCTACAAAGGTAGAGACAATAGATAGTTCTGTGTTACTGAAAAATATTCAAATTCAAGTGAGATGATAGATAGATAGATAGATAGATAGATAGATAGATAGATAGATAGATAGATATAGATAGATGGCTGAAAACCATATGTATGAGGGAAGAGGGGCACTGAGTGACAATCTAATAGAGGGCCGACTCTGAATCAAAATGATGAGTTCTGGAAGCTGTGTGTTCTGTAGATAGCGTGTGTTAGACACCAGTGCTGAGCTGAGAGCGCTCCATGCCTTTCTCTTCGTGAAATCCTTGAGTCCACACTGTGTTCTGTAAGCCTTGAGTGACACAAAAGGATCCTAAGACTTATGTTTTGTCCAGAGGGAGCGCTGAGACTACTTGGTGGGGTTGGGGAAGGGCAGCCAGTGTAGGACGGTTCTGCCCAGAGGTTCTTGGAGGAGCCCAGAGCACGGCTGTCCTACAGTGAAGACCAGTGTGGCCGAGGCCTCAGGACTCTGGGGAAATAGTGTCAAATACCCCACGCCCTGGAGGAATATAAATGCAGAACTTTCTATCTCTGACAGCCCACAGGATGCCTGACACTCAGACAGTAATCATTTCATTTTGCTTTGCTCTTCAGATCGCTAGTAATTGTCCTTTCTGTGGCCATCGTTCTGTGTGTGTGTGTGTGTGTGTGTGTGTGTGTGGCCATCATTCTTATTTTCCTGTGAATAAGAATTGTCATCCTCTTCTATCAAGTGTACCTCATGTATTAATTTCATTTTATCAGAAATAATTCCCTGCAATTAATTGCTTTGATCCTTGCAAGAAACCGGGATCTGAGCCTTTTGTGTATTTGTCTGATCTTCCTCTGACCTGGTCTCTCTTGGCCAAGAGGAGATTCCCACAGGACTTCTAGCGACTTGACCAGAGCTACGTGAAGCCCTGAACTGGGCCTGACCCTGGGCTCAGCCTCCTGGTCATACAATAGTTCCCCACCCATCCCCTCTGCGTCCTCACCCCTCTGTGGTTCCATCCATATTTCTAGAACACCTCCCATGGTGGTGGTGCAATACTGAGTTATTATTTCCACCAGTGTGGTTATTCGGCTAGACCAGCATAGTTTATGCAGCAGGAAAGGAAGATTGCAGGTGCCCAGCCCCTCTCAGTTTCCCGTCTGTGCCATGCCTTGCATCCTGGCTACGTTTGTTTTCTCTCCTTGGCTTCAGTGTTCCTGTTTCCCCACCAGGCTCTGCATCTCCCTGGCAGTGAAGGCTCTGTCCTGAAGCTTCTTACTACTCTGTGATTTTTATTTTGGAAATACTTTAGCCTTCCTAATATGAAACATTACTTCAAAATGCAGTATTATTTTTCATCCAGTACAAAGCACCGTCCCCCCTGAGTCCAGAGTCAGTGCTCTGAGAAGAGGTTGAGGTCTCTTTCCCCAGTTCTGACCATATCCCTTAGGACAATGAAATTCCAGTTGAAATTGGGAGAGGCAGATGTGATCTTGTGGTTCAAACTGGCACATGGGAATGTTTTAGCAAACAAGAACCATTCTATTAAGCAAACAGTTCTGTGCCAGGGGACTTTTTCATGATACCAAGAGGACAGTTGGTGTGAATGGGATGGGTAGCATTTATTAGGCTAGATGAGATAATGCTTCGAATATTAGTTGAAATGTGCATGGGAATGAATACTGTTTGAAATTTCACAAGGTAGGTTGCCGACATTAGCTTATCGGCTTCCTCATGTGTGAGCGTTAGACGCTGCATGATTAGAAAGTGATCGTGGACTTTCTTCAGAGAGTTGGAACAAATTATTTTAAGATTTGTGTGGAATCAGAAAAGACCCCGAATAGCCAGGGGAATTTTAAAAAAGAAAACCATAGCTGGGGGCATCACAATGCCAGATTTCAGGTTGTACTACAAAGCTGTGGTCATCAAGACAGTGTGGTACTGGCACAAAAACAGACATATAGATCAATGGAACAGAACAGAGAACCCAGAAGTGGACCCTGAACTTTATGGTCAACTAATATACGATAAAGGAGGAAAGACGATCCACTGGAAGAAAGACAGTCTCTTCAATAAATGGTGCTGGGAAAATTGGACATCCACATGCAGAAGAATGAAACTGGACCACTCTCTTGCACCATACACAAAGATAAACTCAAAATGGATGAAAGATCTAAATGTGAGACAAGATTGCATCAAAATCCTAGAGGAGAACACAGGCAACACCCTTTTTGAACCTGGCCACAGTAACTTCTTGCAAGATACATCCACGAAGGCAAAAGAAACAAAAGCAAAAATGAACTATTGGGACTTCATCAAGATAAGAAGCTTTTGCACAGCAAAGGATACAGTCAGCAAAACTCAAAGACAACCTACAGAATGGGAGAAGATATTTGCAAATGATGTATCAGATAAAGGGCTAGTTTCCAAGATCTATAAAGAACTTATTACACTCAACACCAAAGAAACAAACAATCCAATCATGAAATGGGCAAAAGACATGAAGAGAAATCTCACAGAGGAAGGAAGACATAGACATGGCCAACATGCACATGAGAAAATGCTCCACATCACTTGCCATCAGGGAAATACACATCAAAACCACAATGAGATACCACCTCACACCAGTGAGAATGGGGAACATTAACAAGGCAGGAAACCACAAATGTTGGAGAGGATGTGGAGAAAGGGGAACCCTCTTACACTGTTGCTGGGAATGTGAACTGGTGCAGCCACTCTGGAAAACTGTGGGGAGGTTCCTCAAAGAGTTAAAAATAGATCTTCCCTACGACCCAGCAATTGCACTGCTGGGGATTTACCCCAAAGATACAGATGCAATGAAACCCCGGGACACCTGCACCCCGATGTTTCTAGCAGCAATGTCCACAATAGCCAAACTGTGGAAGGAGCCTCGGTGTCCATCGAAAGATGAATGGATAAAGATGGGGTCTATGTACACAATGGAATATTACTCAGCCATTAGAAACGACAAATACCCACCATTTGCTTCGACGTGGATGGAACTGGAGGGTATTATGCTGAGTGAAATAAGTCAATCGGAGAAGGACAAACATTATATGGTCTCATTCATTTGGGGAAAATAAAAAATAGTGAAAGGGAATGAAGGGGAAAGGAGAAAAATGAGTGGGAAATATCAGAAAGGGAGACATAACATGAGAGACTCCTAACTCTGGGAAACGAACTAGGGTGCTGGAAGGGGAGGTGGGTGGGGGGTGGGGGTGACTGGGTGACGGTCACTGAGTTGGGCACTTGATGGGATGAGAACTGGGTGTTATTCTATATGTTGGCAAATTGAACACCAATAAAAAATAAATTTATAAAAAAAAGAAAGTGATTATGAATGAAAACATCTTATCTTTGGTTTGTTTTTAAATTTTTTTAACATTTTTTATTGTAGTAAGAATATTCAACGTGAGAGCCACCCTGTTAACAAATGTTTATTTTTTTAAATGATTTATTTATTTACTTGAGTGACAGAGCAACTAAGAGAGCAGTGGGAGTGGGGGAACAGAGGGAAGGATAGAGAATCTCAAGCAGACACCCCGCTGAACACAGAGCCCAACACGGGGCTCGATCTCACGACCTTGAGATCATAACCTGAGCCAAAACGAAAAGCCAGATGCTCAAGAGACTGAGCCACCCAGGCACCCCTGTTAATAAATCTTTAAGTGCACAAGACAGTACTGTTATCTAGAGACACAGTGTCGTACAGTAACATATGGTGGCTTTTGTGAATAATCCTGCAATGGGCATGGGAGTGCAGATATCTTTTTGAGATCTTGATTTCAATTTTTTCAGCTGTCTATACACAGAAGTGGGATTGCTGGATCATACAGTAGTTCCTTTTTGAATTTTTTGAGGAACCACCATACTGTTTTCCCTAGTGGCTACACCAGTTTGCATTTGCGCCAACCATGTGCTGGGATTCTGGTTTCTCCAATTCCTCACCAACATTATTATCTATTGTTCTATCGCTTTTCTTTTTAGAATCTCCTTCCTGGCAGGTGTGAGATGATGTCTTACTGTGGTTTTGAATTGCATTTCCCTGGTAATTAGTGATGTTGAGCATTGTTTCATGCCCCTATTGGCCACTGGCCAACAAATCTATCATGAGATACAAAAGTGAGAATCCTCCAGTCACATGGTTGGTTCTAAGTTGGGTTCCAGCACCATCTAGATGAGGCACTAGACCTTGATGAGCTCCAGACTATCTTGTGTACATTCAGACACCCAGGCTCTTTGATACCTGTTATTCTAAGGCACTATGTCTTGTGGGCACCTTCCTTTAGGGTGTGCAAGCATATGTGCTACAGACCAAACTTCAGTGCAGGTTACAGAGAAACACTGCCAGCAAGCATCCCTCCAGTAAGAAGAGATGTGGGAGGAGATTTTTGAAACTTGACAGTTCTGCCTCCTTTTACTAGTACTTCATCCAGTGACAGATACGTGCCTGGTTCCCCCTTTCTTCCTAGTCTATCTCATTGCCTATTAGGGGTAATGTGTGAACTTTTCAATCATGAAGTTCCCAATTAGGTCACAAACTCACTTTAAAATTAGGTTTAAATGTTTGATTTCTGTTTTGTTTCTACTTTTTTGCAGATACAAATATCCTAAAAATGAAATTCCTGCTCATGTTTCTCAAAAATACTTTCTTTTTACCTATGCCTGTATCTAAAGAAAAATATTACTCCATAAAGATGTGTTAAATCATGGTGGACGTATTAAAATACAAACGATGTGATTGTAGTCAAAACAACCTTGCATCCTGAACAACTTTAGCATTGCTTCTCATGATTGCTTCTGTTTTTTAAAAGATTTTATTTATTTGTGAAAGAGAGTATGAACAGGGGGTGGACAGAGAGACAAGCAGACTGCCCACTGAGCATGGAGCCCCATGAGGTTCTCAATCCCTGGATCCTGAGGTCATAAACTGAAACAAGGTCAGATGCTCAGCCAACTGAACCACCCAGGTGCCCCATTCTGTTTTCTTTCTATGTAGGATACAGAGAAAATAAACTATGTACATATGGTTATAGTAAGTCTCTCATTAGCCTTTTAATTTAGCTGGCTGTGGTGATGCCTGCTTTTGCCCACTGATGAATCTAATGCCAGGTTGACAAAGTCCTGCAGCTTTGTTCTAGGCCTCTACAAAAAAAAAAGAAAAAAAAATGGAGCTGGCTAGCAAGAGGGAGCACTGTTCAGGAATTAGATAAATAGCAGGTCGGATGGGACAGTATTGGAGACCGAAGCCAGGGTGAGGTGCCAGTTTTAGCAACATCAGCTAATGCAGGACCAGCACCTTGGTCCCAGATTGAGGCGGGCTGCCGATTCCAGCACTCAGGAGGTCTATGCACAAGGGTCAGGAGCCTGGGCTGAAGCAAACAGGGACATGCTCTGGGTTACCAGTGGCCCTGGAACCAGTTATGCCTCATGTCCACATGGTAGGACTCACCTCCATAATCATCCTGAAGTCTGGCTGTGAATACTGGGGTTCCTCACGTATGGCTCCCCTGTAAGCACACCACTGAGTCCACATGGTTCATGCTCAGTTTGGTTGTTTGAGGCCTGCAGCTCTGGAGTACCCCTCACAGTTCCTCCTGGGACCCATTAGCTTTTCTCTATCCCCCCGTTGTGGAGCACAGCATAACCCAGTTGGAAAGGAAGCCTGTGACTGCAGCTGCTTTTCCTTGACCCCAGGTAGACTGTGTGCTTAGCAAAGGGGAGAAGTAGCTGGCCTTCACCTGAATGACTACGGAGCACAGCTTGTGGTCCTTCCCGGGGACTGGGATTCTGTATTACATACATAGCACCCCTTGGCTCTCTTCATGCTTACATATTGTATGTTTAGAAATATTTCCTGAAAGAATAAATAAAAGGAACTGAGAAAGCATAGGGAGAAATGCGCAAAACTGGTTTCCTCCCCAGGAGGAAGACCACAGACAGCCCCGTGAGCAGTCAGGGGTGTGCACAGATGCCCTTCTGCAAGGCACATCCCATCTGCAGCCACATCGGATTGCTCAGATTTGGACTTTCAGAAGTGATGTGAATTTGTGTCCCTTCCCAGTGGATGGCATGTGGTCTTGCTGGTCTCCCTGGTCAAAATGCTCAGCGACATGTGGCGGTGGACACTACATGAGGACCCGCTCATGCACAAACCCAGCCCCAGCCTACGGAGGAGACATCTGCCTGGGGCTTCACACGGAGGAGGCACTCTGCAACACGGAGCCCTGCCCGGGTAAGCAGCCTGACCGCACGACTGCGGTAAACTCACCCCTTCCCAACCTTGATTTAGAAACCGTGAAATTGATGATAGCTCATAAGAGCAAATACTGAAAGAAGGGAACACCTCAGTCCCGCACTGTTTTCCACCAAGTGACTTCAGACCACATTGTTCTACTATAGAAGAGTTCTCACCATGCCATGGTTTCACAACTAGTTAACAGAAACTGGTTCTAACAAGACATTATTAAAAGGTTTAACCTGGTAATGGAATCTGAAAATCAAGGGTGGGGAGCTCAGGTCCAAGGGTTTGGGGGAATCTAAGCCTCAAGGCTGGCTAGCACAGGTGCCCAGGGGATACGCTGCAACAGCCTCCCCATCCAATAACCCGTCTTGTCCAGAGACATGGAGGCCAGTTGGAATGAAAGTCAGACACCCTCTTCTGAGTCTAACTTTGACTTTGAAATAGTCATACTTTTTATTTTCTAACTTGCTCCTGCAAATCTTTCTGGAAGCTTCCCTCTGTATTGAAAAGTGCCTAGAAACCAGATACAGTCATCCCCAAAGCTGGTGCTTTACCCATTTTTACAGAAAAAAATGAAACCTCTTTACATTGAATCAAGGCACAAGTTTGATTTCTGAATTTTCCCTGTACTGCAAAGATGATGCTGAAATTTAAAAAGAAGAAAAAAAGCAAACTGCATGCAAAAATATCTTTTTGATTTGTTTAATAATATTTCCTAATAATGCTGAGAGCACATTTTTTAACCTCCTTACTTAAAACATGAGTATTGTTCTCTTTTTACACATCCATAAGCCTGCGTGTATTTAACAAATGCTAGCAAATTTTCCACTTCAGGGTGAAATGACCTTATATCACTCAGCTTTGGACCTTAACCCAAGAGTCGTGCAATGATCTTAGGCACATAGGCAATAGTAAACATGGGATGAAATAAATTCTGCAAGTACAGCCTGACTTCAGTATATTGACTCTGCAGAATTGTTTTTGTAACAGAAGGGAACGTATTTGTAGTAGCTGGAAACCCCTCTCAGCAACCAGGGCTTTCTCATTCATGCACCGTCATTTCTCTTGCCCAAGCTCTAAGACCTGTAGGAATTTTTGCAAGAAAGCAGTTAAGGGCTGCTCTTACAGAGGAGCACAGCCCTGTGGGAAATGGTGTCTACCGTGAAGATTTCTTTCCCCTCACCATGACCGTCTCTGCACAGCTGGACCTCATGAATTAGCTTATTTAGTGTCTAGTAGTTACTTTAAAACATTAAAATAACATGGGTTTTAGAAAATGTATTTTAAGTACATTAATTTTTACCAAAGGTCTACAAGCTCTTTTATTCATGCCCTATATAATTTATCTGAGTGCTCAGAGGAGGCGCATTCATTGTATTTATACATAGACCCATTAAAAATGTAATATGAAAACTTAAAGTAATGTGTGTGATCGCAGTGGCTTTGTTGTTGCATCTCCCCTCTTCTGGTCACTGCAGAGAGCTGGTCAGAGTGGTCAGACTGGTCTGAATGTGCCGTGTCTGGGGTCCAGGTCCGTGCCCGCCAATGCATTCTTCTGTTCCCTGTGGGCAGTCAGTGTTCTGGAAACACCACAGAGAGCCGCCCTTGTGTTTTCGATTCCAATTTCGTCCCAGGTAAGGGCAGAGAGCCTTATCAGTGTGAACAAAATCATTTCCATCATTTAGAAAGGAAATGATTCACACATGGGAGTTTTATCTGTTCTTCGAGGTCTTGTTTGGTGAAACAGAGATGATTCTATCAACTCTGTGGTTTCAAGGTAATTAGTCAGTAGATTTACAGATAACTGTGGGTTGAGGCTTGAATTTACACCATGGATTTTAAGTTTTTTTTTAACACGATGCCTTCTACAATTTACTGACTATAACATGGTGTGACGATTTTGCTCAAAAAATCAAAATAGATTATTTTGTTATTTTAACATTAGGTTAAATGCTTTTGCAGTGCTGTGTGCATGTGTTTGTACAGACTAAAAAGGCCAGTTCTTCATGCAACCTTGATATACTTGGGAAGATGGAAACCTACCATGGCTCTCATCTTGGAGAAGAGACTGGCTGGCTCTTTGGCTATTGGCTTTTCCATGTGAAATTGATGGTCAGTTATTGATCATAGCAAGTCATCTGTCACATGTTCACTGTAGGCATGGTGTTAGGTACTTACAAATCATTTGTATATGTCCAGTGTGGGTTAGGACTATGCTATAGACCAAAGCAGAGACCAGCCTCTTACAAGGCAATAATAGATAATTTGCCTTGTTTTCTTCCACTTTTGTAAATGGTAACTGTATTTCAGAGAAAATTATTAGCTTTAGTCTTATAAGGCGCCTCCATTGTGTATGGTATAGAAATGCTGTTTATTGTGATGTTTTCCTTATTGACCATAGACATATTGCACACTCTCTTGTTACCCACTGACAAAGCAGTACAGGAAAGAATAATGTCTCCAATCTCCTGAAATGGTGTTTGACACTTGTGGGTTAAAACATTTCCAGGATCTGTTTTGTTTTTTTTTTTGTTTGTTTGTTTGTTTTTTGGTTTTTTTTTTGGCATTTTACTTGGGTATTTAATGTGTGTCATGGCAAAGAGTTATGGCAGTTTCCTTCAAGCTCTGGTGGGTTGGTCCCCCTGTGCAGAGAATTTGACGATGCTGGCTTTGATCAGAGACAGGGACACCAACACCAACTCTTTGGGGTCCACAGCTGGCATAATATATAGGTAACAGAAAATCAGCACATACTCTGGCCTTATTTTGAAATTGTGCCCTGGTTTCAACCCAAAGGACCATCACGTTTTCTTTCTGTGATAATGAATCTCACCCCTTCCCAATCCAGATAACCTTGGCCAAATACATCTCAGGTTGGTTAAAACAAAGAAACATACAATTTTTTAAACAATTTATTGGGCTTTGAATTTTGACTCCCATAAAACTTGAAATCATTAGACGTTCTGTAAGTGAATCATTGATGTGGTCTTTCTTTCCAACACCCTTTACACATCATGATTTAATTCTTTTTCCAGAAGTATCTGTGGCGAGATCCAGTAGTGTAGAAGAGAAAAGGTGTGGGGGTAAGTTCTCTTTTTAACTAATTTTTAATTGATTTCTGGTATTTTCTGATCATTTCTTTCCCCGTATGTGTCATATGATGTTTGGCCCAAGAAAAACAGAATGGAGAAACTCTTGATCCAAACACCTTAAACTTTGGTAGTACAAATGCAAAAAGTCAGTATTTGACAGCTGGATCAGTGGTTCTCAGGTGTGGTACCTAGACTAAGCATCATCAGCATCCCCGTGAGTGCTGATAGGAATACAGATTCTCAGGTCCTGCTTCAATCTGTAGAATCAGAACCTTTCTGAGGGGGGCCCAGCACTTTGTGGTTTAATAAGCTTTTCAGGTGATTTTGGTGGATGATAATAAGCTTTGTGAACGAGTGATCTTGATATTAGCTGTAGTTAAATTTCTCATGAGTAAAACTCAAGCATTTTTTTTTTATACATATAGTGCAAATACATGGCAGCCAGCCTCAGACTTCCAGGCTGGAATGACAAAATTGTAATGAGGCATGAGATTATACCTACATCTCTAGAGGTGTTGTTGAAACTTTCTGCAAACCTGGATGACAAAAATTACATTCTCTGGTTCCAGTTCATGCTAAATTTGGACATTATGTCTGTGTTTACTTGTCTGGGCAGGAGGGGCTAACTGTCCATTGGTCAAAGCCCATCCTCTGCCCACCCTTGGTAATCAGAGCCAATATCCACACCAAGACCACATATTTATACATTCGGCTGGTGACCTAAAAATACCCATTCCTGCCATAATCCATGCCACCAGGGGATTCCCAGCAGCTCAGCCATAGGCTCTGGTCTTTGTTTATGTTCGAACAGAATCTGGAACTTTGTGGGTGTGTTTTAGGAATGTACTTACTGTTTTTAACTACATTAATTAAGAGTCCACTGTCTGTTGCATTCTGTCTGTTTAGTTAGTTGTTGATCTGTTCACTTAATAATCTTTGCTGAGCACCCCCTCCATGAGCTCTGTGAGGGACACTGAGTTTACCACGGGACACAATAGCCACAGTCCTTCTGGAACTAGCAGTCATCTCATAAAAGACCCCAGTGCCTGAAAAATGCAGTGTCTGTTGTCTGACCTACATTGGTCCCAGGAGTTCACAGACTGGCACTAGATAACTTGGGATCCAGCTGGAAGATGAATATATACAAGTTCCCATAATCATAGCTCTAAGTGTCCTTTAATATTTTTAGATCAGTCACTATATGCCACTGTATTAAATTGCAAGAAGTATCCTATTTGATCCTCACAAAGAGCTTATGTGTAGGTACTGCAGCCCACAGTTCCTTAATGTAAAACCTTTGGAGATATGGAAGAGTTTTAGAATTCAGCATTTTTCAGATTTCAGAGGGGTAATATGGGGCATAGGATGTCTATTATGTAACACTCTGCAGTGTCCAGGTCCACATTCTGTAACCAGTCTCTTTAATGATGCTTTGTGAAGTGTGGACAAAGTGAAGATGCTAATGCTTCTGCAGTTCTAGTTAGTTCTGCAGGAAAAGGGTCAGGTCAGGTCAGGCTTTGCTGCCAGGTGAGTGATGAAAAATCCATTTCCAGAAGTTTGGGTTTCACAAATTGTAGAAAAGGGAGAGCAGCCATGCACTGTCATCTACATTAAGGACGGTGAGAGTCAGAGATGAGGCTACTGGCCAGAGTTCACACAGGTTGAGAGCAACAGAGCCAGAGTTTGAGTCCAGGCTGTAGGATCCGAGTGTGAGCTTCAAGGCCAGAGAACCACAGGAAAAGGATCCTGGCAGTGGGTATCTGAGAGGATGGTGTCTCGGGGGCTGGAGCCACAGCAGCCCTGGTCAGGTGACAGTTTTGGATGACACTCAGGGGCTGGGGACACCTGCTGCCCTCACAGGAAGCCCAGATCAGAAGTGAAGCAGAGCTCTTAAGGAGCACCTCCTGTCCTATGTGAGGCCAAGACAGAACTTGGGGTCAGCCAGCTGATGTCTCTGCAGAGTTGACCTCCAGGTCTGCCAGAGATTTAAAAACCATTTTCCCTAGCCAGCTGTCTCTGGGTTAGGATATAGGAGACTTTCAAGGGCCTTAAGCACCTCGGAGAGCAGGGTTCAAAGTCCATTCCCATCCTAAACTGCTGCTTCCGTGTGTCTGAGTCAAACAGGCTAATTGGCTACCCAACTACAAACCAAGTGTTGATGTGCTGTTGATTAAATCACAGAGATACTACTAACTGTAATATTCCGAACTGATTTTTTTAGATCATTGACACACCAGGTTAGGCAAGTCAGAGGTCACATGGATCTATTGTAGGGCTGATGGGTAAAAAGAATCACCTAGCAAATGTTTAGGGATACAACATCCCTAAATGGGATGTTTAGGGAGACAACACAGACGTCTTTTTTTTTCCCCCCATTTGAAGAGAAATCAATCACTTTTTTTACAGGAAATCATCCAGTTGAGCCAACAGGGTAGTTGGTTTCTATTTCAGCTTTACTGACCAAAAACAACAGAAAAACATATTCGAAGCAAAGAGTCACACCAAGCAGATTCAAAAGAGATTTAATAGGCACTGTTTTTCCCTATGCAGAAAAGTGTCGGCCTTTTGAAATTTTTCTATTTAGCTATTTTTAGTTTCATGAGACACAAAGACTATATAATCCTCATAAAGATGTCAGCTGGCCTCGGCCTTCCCCGGGCACCTGCAGGCGTGATTCATTGGACTAATGACAAAGTATCTGCATATGGAGAGCATCACACATCTTTCATACTTATAATAAAATGTTATCAGTGCAGCAGGAAGTCCTTTTATCGGTAGATGGCATTGACCCTGGGACTCAAAACTGCTAAAGTATAAAACAATGACAACACGTATGAAATCTGCTCTTGTTTACCTGGATTACAGCTTCAGTGTTACAGTAGACACTTCCTTCCGGTGGCTGCTGGTGGGATGCCCCCCGGATGCTTTGACCAGCCAGCCCAGGTGGGGGGCCGTCCAGCTCTAGAGCTTCAGACAAAATCAGGACAGGCTGGAGATTCATGAACTGCTTGACCAAAAAACCAAGAAGTGAAAACCAGGTGGATATGGGGAAGCAGGTGATACTTGTGGAATATTCTAGTAACATCCACCTGTATTATCCAGGGCCTGGTGCTGCAGACATTGGACTCCTGTGTTAGGAATGGGGTGGGGGCATCCCTGGGTGGCGCAGCGGTTTGGCGCCTGCCTTTGGCCCAGGGCGCGATCCTGGAGACCCAGGATCGAATCCCACGTCGGGCTCCCGGTGCATGGAGCCTGCTTCTCCCTCTGCCTGTGTCTCTGCCTCTCTCTCTCTCTGTATGACTATTGTAAAAAAAAAAAAAAAAAAAGGAACAGGGTGGGAGTGAGTGGGTTGCAGTTTACAGAGAACCCAGCCTCTGCATGCTGCTCTCGCTCACCTGGGGAGGCAGTTTGAGCCCTCAGGGGTTCCAGGAATGCAGCATCTGTGAGCAGCAAAGGGTCATGGCCTAGAGGGAGACGTCAGGGTGTGGGGACAGTGAGGGTACCCCACCTCTGCTGTGGATCCAGGCAGGGGCCAGGGTAGTTGAGGGGCAGACACCCCAAGGCTTGGGTGCAAGGAACAAACTTCCAAGGCTTCTCACCCTGAGAGCCTGGGAGCCTCTCTCTGTGGCTCTGGGATTCGCCTGAGATCTGTAGTGTGCCTAGCAGGCATTTCCAATGGTTCTGTTTGGATGCAGGATGGACAGATTGGATGCAGGATGGACAGACACATCCAGGAAGAGTGTGGGTGACTGCGCCCCCTGGTGGTGCCTTGAGGGGACACGATGGGGGAAAGCTGGTCCTCAGGATGGGTCCTGGCACAGGTGCCAGAGGCCAATACCCACAGGGGACAGGGTAGCCACATGGCGCCAGCCCAGCATAGAAAAAATAAGGTCATGTTCTACTTCGGCATTGCCCAGATGTTGTCTTTATTCCCTGAAAGGCTGGAAACTTTCATTGTACGGTATTTTACCAACACATGATGAACATCTATTTTCCTGTGTGGTTATTTGCTCAGACATTACAAAGTTCTTCATTATGTTACCTTGATGTCTCTCAAGCCAATACCATATTAGAGACATAAATCCACATCTGCTTATTTTTTCAACAACTTGTATTCAAAACTCAAGGAAAATAACTCAAAGATGCTATTTAATAGAAAAAATATGTAAAAGAGGGTCATTTCATCACCATTAAAAGATCATATTTTATTCCTTTGATATAATTCTTTTATTTCTTTGGTGTAAACCATTGTCTTTATAAGGTCTCCAAAACACAGTAATTTTGAGCAATTAACTGGAAGTAGTTAATGCATTCTCACTTTTTTCATGGGACACAGCCAGGCTATTGGCTGGGATGCTCTACCTGTTAAGAAGCATGGAAAAAATGTTCTCTAGGAACCCCATAGACCAGAGATCATGCTGCATGTGAAACAGATGAGCAGACTTGTACAATCCTTTAATGAAAAAAAATGCTTCTAGTATATTAAGGTGATCTCCAAAAGACGGATTGTAGTCTGTAAGAACATTAACTTAAAATAAGCTGTGCTCCCTGTGGAGGATGACATTTCAGAGGAAGGTCATGGGCCTCTATGTTGTCTTTCTCTTTTTACGCAAGTGCTTTGAGCTGTTGAGTAGTGTGTTCTTTTCCAAAGTACCGTCACTTTTGATGCTGTCTTCCCAGAGTTCAATCTGTTCCACATGCTTGCTGTGGGGCTGAGCAGCTCCATTCTAGGCTGCCTCCTTACACTGCTTGTCTACACCTACTGCCAACGGTACCAGCAGCAGTCCCATGATGCCACCGTCATCCACCCTGTTGCTCCTGCCCCTCTCAACACCAGCATAACTAACCACATCAACAAACTGGACAAGTATGACTCGGTGGAAGCTATCAAGGTAAGGAGTTGGCAGACAGATGTGAAAGAAGGGCCCTAGGGGCTGTTGGCAAAGCTTAGGGGTAGTGGCTGAAGTGACAGACTGGAGAACAAGGCAATGGGTGGCCCTTATGATGAGCTGCCTTGTTTGCTTTGCCTGCAAAAAAAATGGTGCCTCACATTGGGAAGTAGGTTACAAATAGGACTCAGAAACAGCAATGAATAAAGTACTGGAAAATATTGAGTCATTGGCCAATGTCCAGCTCTGCTTCCACTGTGCCTCCCATGTTCAAAGAGAGGTCTTATCAAAGAGAGGAGCTCTGGGCTGAGGCCCTGTACCCATCTGACAGTGGTAATGAGGACCAGGGTGGGGTAGTCTGATATCCAGGTTCATCCTGAGAAAAATTGTTATGTTATTATAAAAACTATCTTAAAATAATTTGTTTGCGTAATGAAATTTCTTCAGCTTTGCATGGTGTGTGACTGGTGTGGGGTGAAGTGTTCTGCTAAATTTTCCCAATGGGTGATTAATTCAGTGCCTGACCCAGAAGTAGAGAGTTGATGGCCAGTCTCCTCATTCTGAGGAAGAAGGAGTAGAAAGGGCATCAGCTCTGGACCAGGAAGACCCGCGTCCATGAGTCACCAGCTGGGTAAACGTAAAGCTAGTTACACTCACTGAGCCTGTTTTCTCCTCAGTAAATGGGAGATCATGAGAAACAAATGAAACAGCTACACTAAATGCCTTGAGTAGTGCCTGGCAAAATAAATGTGGTTTTTATTTGAGGCGTTGTGCATCAGGGTTTAAAATGCAAGTTAGTTAATTCTTTGAACCTCAGTTTCTTCATCTTTAAAATGGGTAGAGCAATATGTACCATCATCTCTCTGTTGTGAGGTTTAAATGGGATAACACACAGGAGTCAGGGGTGTAGCTGGAAGGACATCTAGGGCCATCATCTGCTTCACCCAATGTGCCCGACCACCCACGTGAATGAAGGATATTATCATTTTGACATTCCTCTTAAATTGATGGTTCTCCTTAACATTCTCAGGGAGCATTTTGATGCTCTCTCTGCCATGATGGTTTCCTTTGAAATTTGATTTCTTTCCCATGTGGGAACGTGGAACATTTTCAACTCTTACAAGTTCAAGTGGTTGGGAGGTCTTGAGTCCTGGGAGCCACAGTGTCCTCTCTTGTTTCTCCCTACCACGAGGCCTCCTTCTCCACCACTTGGACAGAAACAGAGCCAGTTGACTTTTACCCATGGGCCTTGCTTCCACCAGGATCCAGAACCCATGAGTACCTTATGCTAATCAATGCTAGGGCCAAGGAATGAAGTACTGTTCACTAATAACACACCCCTCACACCTTGTCAGAACTGAGCTTCTGGAGTATAAGGAGGAACATGAGCTCCTTTTATGAACAAGAACAAGCCTTTAGATCCCAAGAATGGGGCTCCTTGAAATGTGATTCCAACCAATCAACTTGGTTCTTACTTCAAATGTCTCAAGATAATTTGACTGGTCTTCTGGTCCCACTTAAGATCCAAGAGCCACTCAAGATAATAAGAAATTTAACTGCTCGGAGGGCAGAGGGCTTTGAGGGCACTGACTGCTGCCTAATCTCTAATGATCCTTCTGGAACTTTCTTCTGATACCTTCCGCAGACCAGTCCTGGATAGTTGGCCTCTGCTGACCATCCTACATCCTTTAGCAGCCCTTTTAGTATTTACCCTCCACTTGGCATAGTAAACTAGGTTTTTGAAAGCATAGGTGGCTTTAATGACTTAATAAGGATGGGTGTCTGTGTCAGAAGTGGCTAGAGTAGCCTTTTGGGGGGCCCATAGCTGGTGTGTTAAATTAAGAATATGCATATTGTGGCTGGCTGAAGAAGAAGATACAAGCTACACGGGATCAGCAGGAAGCTCCCTGAGCACCTGAGCTCCCCCTCTGGGGAAGGGGAGGCCCTGGGGTTGTTTTGACTCAAGGTGCAATTTCAGTACACTCACTTGAAGAAAGTCAAGTCCCAAGGTTTATTACTTACACATGCCAGTGAGGCCGGGGAAGGGCAGTCCTCTGGGCCTGGTCAGCAGTGAGCAGGAGACAGAGAGAGCGGGGCAGGCACCTGTTACTTAAAAGGTGGTTGAGGCAGACATCACTTACGTTTTGTGGGCTCAGCTCTAAGTGCTTATTTTATTTTTTAATTTTCTCAAAGATTTTATTTATTTATTTATTTATTTATTTATTTATTTATTTATTTATTTATTTAGTACTCAAGTAGGGGGAGGGGAAGGAGAGAGGGGATCTCAAGGATACTCCACGCTGAGTCCTTCCCAGGACCCTGAGATCATGACCTGAGCCCAAATCAAGATTTGGACAACTGAGCCACCCAGGTGCCCCTGTAAGTGGTTATTTTAACAGGTGCTGCAGGAAAAGCAAAACAGGAACTTAGGGTGGAAACCTGAAGCTCAGGTCCTTATGTAAATGTGCAGACTCTGTGGGTCTGAGCAGGCTTGTCAGGCTGAAAAATGCCCAGGTGGCACCTGAGAATGGCTGTTTTCTCATCACAAGCTCACCTGCTAACAGTGTAAAAAATGAAAAGAAATCAAGCCGTTTTAAATTGCATGCATTTACTTAAATAAGCTCCTTCAAAATCTCTTATCAATGTACCTGTCCATGATATTCAGAAGGCTGCTTAAATTTTACTGTTACATAACATTCAAAGAGACTGTTGATTTGAAATCACTAGTGAGTTTTAGGTTTGTTGAAGATTTAGATTTCTCAAGATCTATTTATCAAAGATTGCCACCCTCATTCTGGTCATGAGGCAGTTCCTCAGTAAGGCAAATAAGGCGAGGAAGCCAGTAGGTGAGGAATCACATTTTGAACAATGGAGCCTCAGAAGGGAGTTCAGATTCAATATAATCGTCCCCTCATTATGTTCTCTTTCCAAAATGCTACTTATGGAGTCTTCTTAAATCTTTTTTTTTTTAATTTTACTTTTTACAGGCATTTAACAAAAACAACTTGATCCTAGAGGAAAGAAACAAATACTTCAACCCGCATCTCAGTGGGAAGACCTATTCTAACGCCTACTTTACAGATCTCAATAATTACGATGAGTACTAATAGCTGTTATATTTTTGGCTCCTTGTAATCCCCCACCTCCTCAAGCCCTGCTCCATGACTACCCATGTTTCCAAGGCTTCAGAGATGAAGTTTGGATACATTTCAAGTGCATTTCAAGCCACGAGTGTCCCATTGCTGCCAAAAACAGACATCTTTAAAAGCAACAAAAATCTAAATATGATGTCTTGAAAATCTGGTCTAAATGCTTGATCATTGTTGAATGAGCCATGGCGTGAAGTTTTGTTTTGTTTTGTTTTTATTGTGTCCAGTCCATTTTTCTAACAAGTCAGTTGTTTTCTTGAGCTTTTTAATATATGTGCCACCCACATGGGAAAGGAGTCTTTAGAAATAGGAATGTCTTCCTGCTTTTGAGCATAAATCTTCATGATGTTCTAATTCAAGAAAACAGACACTTCAACTAAGAATCTCCCTCCCTCCACAAGGAGTGTTAGGTCCATAGTATTTGATAAAATGAAGGATATGAATGTGGCTGTATAGTTATTCACCATGGATCTCCCATCTTCCCAACCTGGGTAAGTCCGTGGAATCCTTGAAAGCAACTTGCGTGTTTGGACTTGGAATGGTTCTCGCCTGAGCAAAGGCAGGAAATCATCCTGGCTTGTGTCTGCAGAGGTGATGGTATGAGGTGTGACACACTCTTGACCCCTGGTCTTGATGCAGTTACTGTGTTATCCCTGGTGGAGGTGAGCGTGAAGACCAGAGGCGCAGACATAACGAAGGGTCCAGTGTTCTGCACGATGCTGCAAGGCTAGCCGTATTCTCACTTCTGGACTTCACAGCATTCCAGGGAGCTCCTCGCCCTGTGGTAGGCCCGGAAACCCACCTGTCCGGTCCATAGTAACATCCTGAAGAGACATCTATAAAACCACTACTTATTCACCATTGGACATATGCCCTGTCTAATGTCCCTGCAAGGAAAAATCGTGAAGATTCATGACACCAATGAGGAAAAGTATTAAATATTAAAAATACTTTGAAGTATAAAATGGAACCAACTTTTTTATTTCCTATGGTACAGAAAGGATTGAAAGAAATGACATTTAAGGAAAGCAACTTTTTATTTTCTATCTCCCGATAGAACTCATGTATAGCAGTCAGCCACTTCCCAGAGCATTACTGATGCGTAAGGCTGGCTTTCTGCAGCCCATCGCTGTACATATTGAAGTGCTCCCCGAGTACCCAGCTGTCATTTGCTGCCTCCAGGTCAGGCAAGGAGGAGACGTTTGGTTCTGGTGCCTTGTGTTTCTATCTCAATGCTGCCCTCCCCTCCACCCCTCCCTCTTCTCCTGCATGGAGGCAAGAGCATTTCAAGATGTACCTGGAGAAAGCAGGGACGTAAGGTTTTCAGTGATCCCTGTGGTTCTGAGCACTGACACTGCTAAGCATTTCAGAGTGTTATAATACTATTCATAGAGGTCCCCACAAAGGAAAAACAGCAGGATGAATTACTCATAAACAGCTGATAAATAATACATGGCAGCTGGTTGAATAATGTTTGAAAGTCAGAACCAGATTGAAACTGTTCATCGATGCCCTTGGGCATTGCAATAAAGACCTGTGTGGATGGTGAAACATTCTTATTGCACAGTGAACCTTCAGATTTGTGGAAATACACAGCACGGGCATTGAGGAACGCAGACTTATCAGCACACGTGTTTGTGGCCTATCCAATGTAAAGAAACAATTTCAGAAAGTGTTGGGGGAAAAAAATCCCATGTTGAGTCATGAGTATTGCTGTATTGAAAGTGTTCTCATGCACCCAAATTTTCAGAAGCGACTCTACAAAAAGTCAAGCTTAAATGGCAGTTGGTCTCCAGGAGGTCTGATAGATTGCAACTGAATGGTGTTCTGGGTGTTTCCAGCAGGGAGTTCATGTTGCCTCTCTCCTGCGTGGCTGGTCTGCTGTGGGGGTACTGCTTGGTCTGGACACACACAGCTGAAGTCTGGACTCAGGAGATGAAATTCAGCCAGATGGTTTCCTCATTGTCCCCCAGCTGGATTTGCACTGGATGCTTCAACTAGTGTCATCACCTTCGTTTAAGAAAAATGTCCCTACCACAAAGCACATCACAGTTGTTTTTGGATCCCTCTCTACAGTGTTTTCTAAGCTTAAACGGTCATTTTATTTCCCTTAGGAAAGAGAATACTAATATTTTGAGAAAGCATCCCTGGACCTGATTAGAAATGTTTTCTAAATGCTATCCACGCTGGACCTCAGTCGGTGCCCTGTGGTGACTGGGGACAGTGCCCATCCTCCCCACAGAGTCACATACTCCAGGAACTTAGCACGGCAAAGAAATGCTCTCATTTTTGTTCCCTGCCTCTCTACTCAGAGGATAATTGCACTGGCTTCTCTTTCTGTCTGTATGTCTCTCTCACATTCTCATTTCACAGAATTTCAATTTGTTTAGAGTAATTTTAACTATATTCTAACGAGCTATGGAGTAACTTTTGCTTTTCCATCATTGTGTGGCTATTGCTCATGGGCGTGCCTCCCCTCCATGCCTCTGGTTGTTTCTTGAGCCCCAGGTGGGCTTTCGCAGGGGTGCCTACCACCTCGCTGGCATCTCCTCCCGAAAGTAGCTCCCTGGAGGCTGCGGGCTTTGCTATTTCTCTGGGTCAGATTTTAAATTTCTAAATGACTTATTCTGTCTATTTTTTTCTTACTTCCTTCCTTCCTTCCTTCCTTCCTTCCTTCCTTCCTTCCCTCCTTCCCTCCTTCCCTCTCTCCTTCCTTCCCTCCTTCCCTCCTTCCTTCCTTCTCTCCTTCCTTCCCTCCTTCCTTCCTTCCTCCCTCCTCCCTAGTACAAGCAGCACCCTCTCTGAACCTAACATCAAATGACAATAGTCACGGTTTAATCTGGAGGGCTGTTTCTGGATAGGGTGGCAGCTGGCCCGGTTTTCCCGAGGAACCTGGCTCTGGGCTCACACTCACACTCTGGGAGGGAGTCCCAGGGGCAGGGCTGCTCAGGGTCCCGTCCACCCCCCCCCCCAGTCCCCAAGGAGCGCTGTGGGCCAGCGGCCGGAGGAGCCCGGCTGTCACCCTGAGGACGGGGCTGGGACTCGGGACGAGCTGGGCCCCCGCGAAGCCTCGCGAAGCCCCGCGCCCACCGGACCCTGCGCTTCCCGCGCGCAGGCCCAGCTCGCCCGGCCCGGGAAGGGGCGCCCCGGGGCTCGGGGGCTCGGGGGCGGGGGACCCGGGTCCGGGCCCAGGGACTCGCCCAGGGACTCGCCGAGTGATGCCAAGGAGAGGAGAAGCGACGGTGGGAAGAGGGGGCTGGGAACGTGGGGACCCGGCGGCTCCCAGCTGAGCGTGGGGCGGGTCCCGGGGGGCGGGGGACGGGACCGTCCGGGACCCACCGTCCAAGGGCAGGAGGTGGCCCGGCGGTGGCCTTACAGCTCTGCAGGTGGGTGAGAGCCGTGGGACTCCGAGCCCAGCGTGGGTGCGTCCCCCGGAGGCCTGCGGAGAACTCGTGGTCGGACCCGCTTCCAATGAGGGACAGAGGCCCAGGGGGGGTCCCGTGTCCCCGGGCTGCCTGCGGGACTCCTGCGTGTGAGCAGGGCTCGGGGAGGTGTAAGTGTATCAGGTCAGCACTCAGCTGATCGCTGCATAAACTCCCCCTTAATGCGCACTGAAGATACAGTCTTGATAGTGTCGGAATTCACAAATAGCTTTATGCTTCTTTATGATATTTACTTATTTCCAGAGTAAATCATGAACATGTCCCCAGCACTGTGAAACCACCTTCGGCAGGATGTCCTTTACACTCCGTTGGGGTTTTCTGGTGTGTAGCAAATGGGGCAGCTCCATTGCATTTAGCATTTCTGCCTCACAGGATGGCTCTGGGGCACCCATCCAGGGAGGAGAGGTACCAGTGGCGGGTACAGGGAATGCTTCTGCCTTAAAGCAGCCATTCTCCACAGAGCAGGACTGTCCGACTGTCCCTAAGCCTCCAACAATCCATGTTTGTGAAGGTGGGAATTAGAATGGAAACCATAAATCAACTCATGCAAACTCTCTGCTATTCTTTTTAAGATGATACAAAGTGGAATTCACAGATTGCGTTGCCATGCCCAATACATCCCTACTACTGCTTCCATTATGTCACAGCAACTCTTGTCACGTGGTGATCATATGTTGACACACCATTGCAAATTTGAGTACCTAGGATGATCTGTTATCAGAAAACAGAAAGCCATTCTGAACACCTTGCTTCTCTGGACGATGGGTATGAAATGGGAGAAGATAAAGTTACAGTCACTTTGACCAGAGAAATGCACAAAAAAGAATGCCAGTTATTGCACAGCACGTCGCCATGTAAGATAAAAGATTTGGAAACCAGAAACCATTGTGGAATTTATCTCTGCTGTTCTTCCCTACTGAGGTCATTAATAATAATTGATTTAAAGGCTCTTTGTAATTCTACATATACTGACAAAGTATTCATTTTATCTGTTTTGCTAACCTGGTAAAACACAGGGAAATAAGTTGCTAGAATCCTTGCTTTTCCCTTCAGAAACTGAAAAATAATTAACAAGATGCAATGTTGGATTATTGGCAGGGATTTCTATGATGACTATTCTATATTCCTTTTTTTATGGACTTATATTAAAGATGTGTTATACCTATTTTGAGGAACAGATGGATCAAGGTTTTTTCATCTATCATATGTCACATTATCAAAATATTGGTACATTTTACAAAAGCATCAGGAAGGGAGATTGTTCTCTCTTGAAAACATAGCTTACACTGCACAGGAGACTTAGAGCATCGTCAAAACTGAATGCAGAGCCTGACCCAGTGTGTATAGTTCCTAGTGTAAGCTGCCTTATAGTATTTGCAAAAGATCATACTGGTTCTGCCATTGAAAGCAATCAAGCTGATTACCCATGACCAGAGTCAGAATTGATTTTTGTTCAGGCAAACAGGTTTTATTGTATTGACATGAGGAGGGTAAATAGCTAAGGATATTTTTAAAACCTGGAAGGAACAGAGTAGAGATGGAAAATTACGCTGTGGCACTTCTTAAACCAAATTTTGGACAGGCAATACCATCCACTCCGTCTCTTTATATTGAGTAAGATGTCTGAGCCCAGCAGTTGGAACATGATCCTGTTCTTTTTCAGCTTCATGGCACCTTAATGCCAAATAGTCCAAATGGAGGGTGAATGGTAGTTCAAAAGGTAGTTCAGACTGGTTCAAATGTGCGATAAATATAAGCTGGGAGCAAAATCTGGATTCTGAAAAAGCCAAACTGTACTATCATGTTGCTAAGAAGAGAGCATTGTTAGCCGTCCTCTGCTAGTGCACAGTTTCATTTCCTATAAAAAGTTGCCAGTGCCTTGTTTAAGATGGTGATTTATCATCTCCTCTGGATATTAGTGGTTCCAGTGCGAAGCAGAGGATTGATTGGCTACACTTTGAAGAAAATCATTCTTCTATGTCTCTTTGAACTCAGGAATAGAAAACGGCCAAGGAACACATCACAGATGTGGTGTCTGCCCCCTACCAGGGAGGGCGTGTGGCATCAGAACAGGTGCAGACAGGTGTTCAGAATTCGGGTTATTGCCTTCCAGAAAGTGACATCACTTTACTTTTACATCGTCCACAAAACACCTTAGTAACAGTGTTAGTCTGTCACGGGATGATGCCCTGCCTCTAGAAGGTAGAGTTTTTGTTACTGTCCTTCAGGCAAGTTGAGAGATTCAGGAAAATCAGGCTGCTGACAGCTGAATGCAGATACAGAATGGAATGAGAACCACCTAGAACTTTGTGGGCTTTTTGTTTTTGTTTTTGAGTCAATGTCAAAATTGTTTCACAACTACACAAAATTGTCAAACTTAATTTAGGTTAAGAAAGTTAACAGTATTTTCTCCACTAAGGGTGTTTTTTCGTATAGCATGACTGTTGGCCAAAATCAAAGTTGAACTTCTGTACTTTGAAAGAAAGCACAGGATGAAGCTTCAATGTGAGCATCTGCATTCCCCGCTGAAACTCTATACCATCTGCAAAGAAAATGCACTAACTTGGTCCATTGTAGGATTCTTCAAAAGTGGGTAACAAAGCTTGTGTGCTGCACCCCTTGACGTGACTTTGGAAAATCTTATAAAATGTTAAATGCTTCTTTCTGTGTTAATTTGCTGTTGCTGTTTTGTGACACAAAATAAACTTATTTGGGATTGTTTCATTTTTTCACTGAACCTTCTCCAAAGCCAACTTCAGCCCTTAGTAAACCTGCAGCAAGTTACTGACCTTAAAATTAATTATTAAAAGACAGTATGTATTAATCATAGTGGGGCTTCTTAGATGAGGTAGCATTGCCTTTCCCTTCCTTGAATGAGGAAATGGAGTGCCAGTTGCCCTATTGGAATCCTCATGGATTGCCAGAACTTACTTCACTGGGCCATTGGGTGCACTCTTTTTCAGTCCTTAAATTTGGTTTCAAGGTTTCACTTGAAACCTTGTTGTTAGAAATGTGTAATGCGACTTTCCGGTAGTCTTCCCTTTTATGCTTTCTGTTCATCAATTCATTGGTCTTAAATGCTCACTTGAGAGCTGTCCAGGTCTATACCCAAGAATATTGTTTAACGACACCTGACAGATCCATTGCTTTGAAAAATTAGTTTGAGATACCAACTGTGGCATCCCAGGCAGGGAGCTCATGAGCTGCTGCATTGGATCAATTATGGAAATTTGAGAAGAGGAAGGTCAAGGGTTACCTGCCGATCAGCAGAAACCAACTCACACCTGCTGCATGTCCCAACTCCGAGAAGAGCAAACATATTTGTAAGATAAAATGAGCTGTTATTACGGAAGGGGAAATGCCATGCTCACTCACTGCTCTTGGTGAATTGCCAGCTTCTATAACCCAGACCAATTAATCTTTATTTTTAAACAATAAATTCATGAAGAATGATCCTGAGTTCCATTAAGAGCGCGATCTCCCTCCATAGCATCCCCTCTGCACCATCTCTATCTGCCAACATTTTTTGGGACAAAATAAGAGAATCCTGATTATGTACAGTATAAATTGTATTATATTTTTTGTACTTATGTTTTATGTAAATAGTTTGTCTCATTTGATTGTATGTGAGCATTGAAATAAATCCTACCATTTAGGAAACAATTTAGCGGAATTGTTTTCTTGCCTCTATGCCCCTTTGCCCCAGATGTGGTAGGGTGTGACAGCACCTTGGAGTGAGTTTCATCAGAGTGAGACCTGGACAGCCTTCTGGCCAAACCCCCTAGCAAGCTCCTCTTTGTTCTTCAGACCCCAAGGCCTCTGGAGTGGTGGCCAGAGACTGCCCCCAGCAGCTTCACGATGATCCTACCACATACTCAAGGAGTGTTAGAAATGTTTCCATGGGCAAAAGGATATATGTGACAAGGAAAGCCAAACAGGGTTTTAATTTACTAGGATTTGCTATCAGGCACTGTTGATGCTTAATTCATGAAGTTATATTCATCTTCTCTCCAGCACATCATATTCCATTATTTCTTGCATAAAACAAGGTTTTTCTAGAATGAAAGCTGACTTTCAGCTAACATGAACACAAAAGATACCTGGCCCAGGAAAACCACTTTAGAGTGAGAGCCACATTTCATTTGGAATATCCAAGATCCAAGATCCCCTTACCTCTTTCGCTCTATCTTTTGCAACTGTTCAGTACACAGCTAAACAATGCAGTGTTTACAGGTACTGACTCCTGCAGTTGAAAATCCCTATATAATTTTGAACTCCCCCCCCAAATTTTACTAATAGCTTAGTGTTGACTGGAAGCCTTACCAATGACAGAAACAGTCCATTAACACATGGATTTTTTTTACGTTGTGTGTATTATCTACTTTATTCTTATAATGAAGTAAGCTAAAAGCAAATGTTATTAAGAATATCATGAGGAAGAGAAAATTTACAGCCCTGTATTAATAAAATATGAAAATCCATGCATAAATGGACTGCACAGTTCAAACTTGTGTTGAAGGGCCAACTGTGTATATACGCATATGTATATACACATGTGAATAAAAATGTATAATTTCATATGTATATATAATTTTTAATTGACTAAGAAGTTGATAAAGCCCATTTAATATGGAGGCCAAAATTAACATAATAAAGTAAAAATATATAGTGAAGCATGTTATTCTTATTAAACTGTTCTTAACCCAAAAAATGAAATACTAATTTTTAAATTTTTAAAAATCTGTATTTTGCTCTGGTCACACAGACTGACTGCACAGTCTAAAGACCTCTCTCCTATTAGAAGGTTGGATGTCCTTTAATGTGAAGAGAGTCCCAGAAGAATAATTTCTTAAAGCTTCGTGGGGAGTTCTGTTCTCCCCCAGTTCAACACATTAACTGTCCAGGAGTTTATTAGCTCTGGCTGCGCATTACCTGGAGAGATTTCTGCTTTGCTTTTAAATAAAACCCAGGTCCCTTTCTCAACTAATTCAGTTTGGAATCTGAGTATCTCTAGTTTATGAAATATTAGAATTTTAAAACATTCTGTGAAGAACCTACGTTTGGCTGTCAGTTTAGAAAGTGAGTAAAATAAGTAGGTGTTGTGTCACAATTTTCTTGTGATTATTTCACAGAATCTTTGTGTTTAGAGAGATCCATTCTGCTACTTAGACATTCTCACACGATGCTAATGTAACCAGCTCTTCTTTTTAGAGTCTACTTTGTTCTTAAAAAAAATAAAATTGAAATACAACTTAAAGTACTTCTTTTGGACCTATTTGAAATATATAATGTAAACTTCCATTTGAAGTGTCTCCCAGCACCCACCTTGTGAAGGAAGCAGAAATGATTGAGTGTCCTGACCGCAGAAATGTAGCTATTTAATGTAAAAGGAAATTGTCTTTAAAATAATATCCAAAATAGTATTATTTTTCTGGAATTACACTTGGTTTGTCTTTAAAGTAGATACGATTTGTTTATACAATGAAACAAAACAATGCTGCCAAGCTATTCTCTCATTAACCAGGTTGGCATCCATTTTCTTTGGAAGCATCTGAAGCTCTCACCTCACCCCTGCAATCACAGTCAGAACCAGAACTGAAACAAGACAGCATTTGATAAACGAAAAATGTGTGTGTGTCCTGGGTGGTGCAGACGTCTTAAGACTAGCAACCAAAAGTGTAACAGAAGACATAAAATCCTAAAGTTACCCTTGTAAAAGTGACCCTCATACAATACACAGAATTGTTCATGCTCTCTTCTAGTTTGAAAAGTTTCTATTAATGTTTTGAAAATGAGTTAACACCGTAGAGCACAGATAAAACTCCTCTCAATTGTGACTTCCTGATCATCATGGATGTGGGCTTGATTTGGGATGCCCAAAGTCAACTGCTCATCACAGTAGTGGTGTCAGAGGCCATCCTTCCTCAGACAGTCAGGAGGAGGGTAACATTCCAGTGCTCAGTGAGTGCCCGGCCACAGTTCTCTTCCTCTTCAATTTTGTCCCTCTCCTCTACCTCAGATTTGCTGTCGCTCCCCATTTCTTACTTAATGTAGATGCTCCTTACAGGGTCTTCTTGCCCTCTGAGGCCATGTGCCCCCTGGTGGCCCTGCCTCACCCTTCCCTGAGCGGATAATGACCGCCACATCAAGTCACCAGGAAAGTCCTGTCACTGGGTAGCAGAGGCCAAACAGCCCTTCAGAGAGTGAGTGCAGGGGCCCCCTTCCCCCAGCACATCAAAACATACCATTCTCCTTTGTGATTTTCTTCATATTTTTATCTTCCTTTCTCTGTTTCCTTCCTTGCTGGAAGTTCCAAGAATCTAAGTTTTGTGAAAGAGTGGAGTTTTTGAGTGTAAAGTTAAGTTTGAGAGAAAGTGATGAAGTCACCTAATTGTACAGAGAGGGAAGGACCCTTGAGGACCCTGGGGAGGGGTATGGCACAGAGGCAGGTCCAAACTTGGTTCAGCAACTCGCCATCAAGTGTGCTCTTGTCTCCAGCCTTCCTGTCTGCAGGCTTCTCTTCACCTGGAAAAAAATGCAAGGTTCGACAAGCCCCTGCTCAGAATATGTCATCATTCTCTTTAATGTCAGTGAGGTTCTTAGAAAATGTTTCAGGCTACTGATTTATCCAACTCGCTTTGCTCAAACACTGTCCTGGTTCGGCACGTAGGAGGTTTTCCTACTCTTATTCTAGAATCTAGAGATAATCTAAAAATAAATAAGAATGAGACATTCACATGTTCACACACAGTTGGAAATCCCACAGTATTCCACCACGGTGCCCAAAGGTAGGGATGAAATGACAGGTGCTGTGGTTCATGTCAAGATCTGTTCCCTCAAGTACTCTGAGTCTTCTGCGGAGAAAGGAGTTTAAGGAATAAATGTATGAGATTGAAGAAGGCACAGACTCAGTACACACACAGTTCCAAAGAGATCATCACACCTTGTGTGAAGGATCATCTGATGGCTCCACATTTGGTTAGAAAATGGAGCAGAGGGAAAGGCATGTTCAGGCTTCACTTCCCACCTTGCTTCTCCTCACCTAGCTTCATAGATCTCCATCTCTCTCGAATAAAAAAAAAGTCTGTTTCTGGTTCTTCTCTTTCCTGAGACCAGAATACATTGTGAGATCCAGGCTTGGTGTACCTTTCTCTGAAGAAAAAGAGGTGTCCTTTCACCAAAATTGGCAGTTACAATTCATCAACATAATTAATTGACACAAGTTCCATTTCTTTTTTTTTTCTTTTTAAGTAGAGCCCAATTCATGACTTGAGCTCACGACCCTAAGATGAAGACATGAGATGAGGTCAAGAGTCAGACATTTAACCTACTGAGCCACTCAGGCACCCCAACTGCCATCTCTTCTAAATTTGGGTAAATGTGACCTGGTGTTTTAAGCCAGTTAATCCCATAAACAGGGAAAATGCTCATTTTGCTTGAAAAAAGACAAACAGCCTATTTTTAGCAACAATTAGTCTGCTGTTGGGGAACAATCCTATTACAACTGACCATTACTGTGCTGAGTAACTCATAAGATTTGTTTTTTTTTTTTTTATTTATTTATGATAGTCACAGAGAGAGAGAGAGGCAGAGACACAGGCAGAGGGAGAAGCAGGCTCCATGCACCGGTAGCCCGATATGGGATTCAATCCTGGGTCTCCAGGATCGCGCCCTGGGCCAAAGGCAGGCGCCAAACCGCTGCGCCACCCAGGGATCCCCAACTCATAAGATTTGTATAAAAGTTATACAATTTGGGCTTATCATTCTCCTCTTTCTGCAAACAGCGTTGCTGCCCATACCTGAAACCAAGTAAGGCCTAATTCTTTGGAAACATTCACTAAAACAGGCACTTAACATAGATTGAAAAATTAGAGTAAATTATAAATATTTTGCTAGAACAACTGGTATATTCAGGAAGGAAGTGACCTGGACAGGTATGAGAATTGGAAAAATGGGTGTAAAGGTTCTAACTGAAGCAGGTTTTCTTTGTTCTTTGTGGTGAGAGAGGCAAGTGGGAAAACAAAGGACTAAAACCAAAGGATCATTCTTTCATCTCATTCAGTGCATATAGACTTCTAGTTACTCTGTTTTTCTTTCTGAAAAATGCCACATCTTCTTTTAGGTGCCTTTCAAGAAACAACAAATTGTTTTGTTTTTCTAATTTATGTTGAAGGTACAAAAACCTTGCCAAGTTATCAAACAAATATGAAAATGAGCGAAGGGGCTTGTACCTGTGTTCCCAAAGCAAGAATTCTACAACATTCTATGTAGTTTTTCAAAAGGTTTTAAAGTGATAAGTTATTATACCTTTTTATTTATTTTTTATTATACCTTTTAAAAATATTTTATTTATTTACTTTAGAGAGAGGAGAGTAGGGGGAGGGGCAGAGGTAGAAGGCTAGAGAGAATCCTAAGCAGACTCCAGGCTTGAGTGAAGAGCCCGACTCAGGGCTCAGTCTCAAGACCCTGAGATCATGACCTGAGTTTAAATCAAAAGTCAGAAGCTTAACTGACTGAGCCACCAAGGTGTTCTAGTTATTTTACCTTAATGATAAAAATAAGTGAGATTGACATTATTTAGGTCTGTTTTCCTCAAAACACACAAAGGGCTGAAAATAAGATAAAGTAGTATCCAGTCCAGGGTGGCATGATACATTTCTATA